TAGCTAGCACAGGGCTGGGTGCTTAAAACCAAAATGTATTGCAAGAATAAATAAAAACGTGGTATATCTTTTACTGAGACAATCTTTAAATCTTCAATGTGGTCATTAAGTCAAGAATGACAGGTGGTTACATTTGTTATATGAAATGAAAATGGCATTTTTACAAAAGTAAATCATAAACAAAAATCACAGTAAACAAAAACTAGTGATTAAGCACATTTTCAAATGAAGTTTGACTATCGATTACTTGAACCATTTTTCCTTGTATCTAGTTTGTTTTTAACGCCCCTCCCCCACCCACCCCTCACCCACCCCTCCCCCTACCAGAATGGTTGAGTCCATGTTTGACTTCAAGAGGTTGTGAGAGGAAGAGAGGGGTGTGTGTGTGTGTGTGTGTGTGTGTGTGTATGTGTGTGAGTGTGAGAGGTGAGAGAGAGAGAGAGAGCGAGAGAGAGAGAGAGAGACAGACACACAGAGAGATGGGGGAGGGTGGGTGCAGCTGCCTCTTGAGTGTGCTGTGTGAGTGCAGTTTAGCGCTGGCTGCGTGCTGCTAGCTAGGCCCTGACTTTAGTGCACGTTGTTCTGCTTTGTCATGTTAAACTGACTTCATTTGTTTTACATGTTATACCTGCTTAAGTTTGATGGCACATGTAATAAGTTGTTATCTTTTTATTTTGTTTCTCATTGTCCCCCTCCAAATTGTCATAGCAACAGCATAAACATATACGGGATTGTGTATAAATAAATATCTCCAAAGCCTTTGTTTCTATCGAATCAGTATTCACATATCATTTATAGAGCAAGAGACATTCGTAAAGGTGGATCGGCTGTATAGCGGGATTTTTTTCTGGGGGTTAAAGGAGGACTTGGTTTTGAGCTGCTTCAACTTTAAACATTAAAGATGACTTTAAAACACTCAATGCCAGTGTATTAGCAATTTCCATCAAGAACTGAGGAAACCTGCTGTGGATTACCTCACCGTTGGAAATAAAAAGGGATCCCAGCCAGAGGGATCCTTGGGTTTTTCTTTTTTCTTCCTGCAGCTTAACAGCAACTGTTAGCATAAGCACAATATACACGAGGGTAGATATGCAATATCATATGACATTGTCAGTAAGCTTTGGTCCAAAGTCGTGAAGTAATTTAGGGGATAGTTGACTGATGCGACGTGGTGAGCAGCGGCACGTGTGCCCGGTTTAATAATAATACATTGGATTTTATTGCGCTTTTCCTTATGCTCAAAGACGCTTTACATAAAACAAGTTGGTGCATTTAGTGCACAGCCCCTCCAGGGACTATGTTATATGTTTTCGGTTCAGCCAAATTATGTCTAAGTTTCAGAGGACAGGGAGGCAAATACATTTGAATGGAAAGAGTTTATTTACAGCAGTGTCAGGGTTTCTTATTTTGACTTTAGTTTAACTGTTGAGAAGAATGTTATAGCACAAGCAGACGACTTACAACAATGCTATGTAAATGGTTCATTGAAAAATAGTTTTATATTTTAACCTAATGGGTGGGGAAAATAATAAACATTAAAATCAAGTGCTGCAGTATTCCTGTTTTGTAGTGTTGTCCTTGATCTTTTTTTTATCCTTAACCTTTACTTGCCTATGGTGTTTTTTTAGATAGGAAAGTTCCCCCTTCCTCTTACCCGAATGGTTTAGTCCGTGCTGGCTGTAGATTTCCATACTGTGGACTAGTTTGTGCTAGAGTTGGGGATGGGTGTTTGCCAAGCAACAATCATTGCAGTGTACTTCCCCTCAGTCTGTGCGCTGCTAGCTAGGGCTGGTGTTGAAATCACCACGCTGTAGTTAAAAAATGTTTTACCCACAAGATTTGTATAAAGATGTGACCTTCAAATATATTATGCAGTTGATATAGGAAAGAAAACGTTTTATATAATGCTCTGTCAGGAGTTATGAACAGACTTTTCTTTTTATAGGTTAAATTGTTTTCTATTCTAGGCTCATGTAGGCAACACATCCTTAATAGTACAAACCCCCCATCCCCCCCTCCCCCCCATTAACAAGATGGACTAGTCCTAAATGAGCCCCTCCTCATTTCTTTTGTGTTCCTTCTGGCCTCCCAGCCTGCTTCCACAACCAACAAATACATGGAAGGCCTCAATCCCACACGTACTGCTAAAGGTTGATTTTTTTCCTCTGTTTTAAAGCATGTTTAACATTTCTGTCTGTCATTTGAAAGTAACTCAATGTTTGTCATTGCATCCTCACTCTTGTTCTGAATTAGATTGTGATACTTACTCAGTGCTATGCTAGTCATAGTACATTAAGCTTTGGCTTGTTGTTAATGTTTATTGTGAGTTTTTTTTTTTAACACGAAACATAACTTTCAGTGTTTCTAGGAGTTTACTGTAAATTAATTCCAATGTAGCTGACAATGGAAATACATGTTAGCCACAGTGCTGTGCGCGATAGCAGTGTTGCGCATGCTATTCAAACATTGTTTGAACCTGTTTGCACTTGAATCTTTACGGCTCAGGATCTGAAGATGTTAATTTATTGATTGTAGCATAATGTATTTCCAAACAAAAGTTTAAAAATTGATTGGTGTCACGTACTAATCAAATGTTAAAAGTACCTAGGAATAACTGGTATCAGGGACGCTGCCTCATTAAAAACATAACACCACCTGGATGCTGTTATTGGAAGGCCTACAAGTTTTGGCAAGTTGCACATGTACCGCACAATAAGTGACTTTTACTTTTGGGTTTGTGTTCTATTTTCATATTGTCTTCTGAGAAGCTTTGAATCTGGATGAGGGGTTTCATCTCCATGAACCCATTTTCAACCATTAATGTGATATGTTTTTCCCCAAAGAGAAAGGTTTAATCTTCCTCTTCACCTTGTGGTAGGAATGCCAAGTTTGTTTTTAGCTTGGCATTACAGAGGCTTAACTTTACAGTGTTCCTGCTGCAGGGCTGACTCCCTGGTCCCCCAGTTCTCCAATTGTTTTAATTTTGAGAGACCTGCAACTTTATGACATACGATTAGCAACTACATGGCTAGTCACTTGGTGTTGAAATAGTGTGTTGCAGAGGCAAACTTCTCATACAATAACAAGCACCGATGTTGCATCGTGAAGGAAAGTAGTTGTTATAACCCAGAGAGACAATGGACATCTCTCATTGTCACCTGATTCCTCGAGCGTCGCATAACGACACATGAAAAAAAATCTTCTCACGTATGGTATCACATATTCAGACATAACATTTGACACATTAGTGAACAAAAAGGTTGTCTGGGCTAGGAATACAATTTGGAAATGAATATTCCTATGTGGTTATCATGCTGTCTGGAGTGTTAAAGTACGAGAGGGATCTGTGTGCATCTATGCTGTTTAGGTTAATTGAGTAGGCATTTTTATTTTGAAGACTTTTAGACATAACTTGAGTTGCGCAGTTAATGCCACACCCAGCCTGTGCATACTGATACCATCGCATAATGGTTGTCTTCTGCATTACTCAAGAGTCTCCGAGGTTCAGCAGTGCACTCACTTACATAGCTACAGAAAGCTTTCTATAAGCTTGACATAAAAATGCGTGCTATTGCTTGGAATGCTGCTTTTGTAGATACTGTACATATAATCTATACCATTAAACAGGACTCAAACATAACTGCCTATATATAAGAAAGGTCGCGAAGTGCAACTAAAAAGGATTAGCTATAGCATTTTTCTACAGAGCTGAATAAAGATACATATCACTCTCTAATAATGTTTAACTTAGATATAAAAGCCAATTTGTTTAATCAAATATAATTTATACTACATTTTGTTTGCATTGTCAACATTCTTAAGCATCTGGCTTTATAGAAAATGTTATTAATCAGGGTTGTGCTGCAACCTGATGACTGACAGAGAATACAGTTCAGCTAGCTTCTGAGAGCTCAGTCTGGCAGCAAACAGCAGAGCTGACGGCCATTTTGAGTTACTGCACTGAAACCAGGCGCAGCAAATGAGGCCATAGGAAGGGGGAGGGGGAACTGTGCACTGCGCAGTGTGCAATAACATGGGAATGTTATATGTATCAGTTATCGTGCTCACAACTTGCAACGCTCTTTATTTATTGATTAATATCTGATAATGCTACCTTTTTGCATGCTGCTTTCCTAGGTCAAGTTTAATGCAACTTTGCAGAAATATTTTCTCACTAGTTTTTAAATCAGGGATTGTTACCAATGCAGGAAGCATTGTAGCTGGTATGAAAGCAGAGAAGGAGATATGTGTATGCGCAAGCAACTTCAGAGTGCTGCTGAGTTTTACTGTGTAAAGTCAGTCCAGATCAGTCTCCTGAGTGAAGTTGTATTTTATTTATGCACGTGACAACCTGCCAAGTTGCAAAAATAGTACGCATAGCTAATTCAAATATGTTGGAGATCGAGGCCTTCAGATGGCTCTGTTAGCAATGCGGGTAACAGTGAAGCTGCTCTGACCAGATAAGATTTGAGCGGTTATGTGAAGGATAAACGGCTTTGTGTTCTGTTCCTTGGCTTATACCAACAGACAGATTTAACTAGTATCTAGAATATGTCTGATTTTTGTTGTTAACGCTGATTGTTGTGGACCAACTGCGGCTTGGGAAAACCTCTCCTGCAGTTTGAGGCCTCGTACTGTCCGTTCTGTCTGGAATCTTTTTCTTCTTCACCTTTTTGTGTGATTGGTTAACGTGTCACGTCTTGAATTGGGATCCCTTTACCTGCTGTTTGGCTTGGAGAAATAGTTTAATCACTTTGTAAAGATGATTTGGCAACATTCTCAGAAAATACCTAATCGCTCGATATATACTTGTCTTTTGTGTCTATGGGTTCATTCTAAATAAATAAAACAGTGAGGTTTGCTGAAATTTAAAGTAACCCTCAAATACATTCATCTCCTTTTTTGAAGTCTTTTAAGGGCTCAGTTACAGTTCCTATTTTGAATAGTTACGGTACATAAACTGTACTAAAAAAAAATCTCTCCCTCTTTTTTTCTCTCAGGTTTTCGAAGAATTTGGTGGTAAACCCAAGAGGAAGAACCTTTCGGGTTGAAGGTGAGTTACTGACAGATTATTTCAATAATTTCTGCTGCCTTTTGTTTTATATCACAGCAACTCCATTTCGCTACTCAGTGTAAATTGTGATTTTAACTTTTCACTTTCTCCCGAAGCACACATATTCATCATCATTTTGTCTGACTCTCATAAAATCTAATTGTAATCATCACATTCATATGTGCATATGAGATGAATATATATTGAATAAACATGTATACAATCTCACAACTAGCCTCAACACTACAATGTAAGAAACATTCAAATATATGTACGGAAAATCCTCCTGGTTTTGCATAACCTCTTAACTGCTGCCGACACAGCCTCTAAACGCCTATTCTGATTGGCTGAAGATTGAACCAATAGGAACGTGGGGGGATGGGAGGCAGATTTGGGTTGCTGCTTTTAACTTCAATGTAATTTCTAGTCTCTGAATCAAAACATGAAAAAACATGATAAAACATGAATCAAAATGAATTGGAGAGATCAGTTAAAGCTTTAATCACTGACATTAAAAAGCCTTTCTTGCTTAGTGAGCTGCACCTTAACTGCACCCCCCATAGCACAGATATACCAAAAGGTGTTCACACATGAAGGTTCGGTCTAAATTTGTCACATTTTAGTAAAGAAACAGACTGTCGGGAACTGACCAGTTTTGGAATCATATCTTGGTGACAGGAGAACCTTCTAGAAAAGAACAAACAATAAAGCCAAAGGGCTCAACAGAGACCTCTAGTGTTTGCTCTGAAGCTCCGCAGCCATTTCTCCCCTATGCAGTGCGTTAAGTCCAGGGCAGGTTCATAAGCGATAGACACTATGCTGCTTCCTATTGCAGCTAGCAATAGGGGTTTATAGATCTTAACCACATATTTAACATTGTAATATCTCCTTTCACTCCACAGGCAGCAATGGAACTTGTTGTGACCGAGGAGAAGAAGAAGATATTCCGTGCTAGGAAAACTATGAAGATCAGTGACCGACAGCAACTGGAGACCCTTCACAGCACTTTGTTGACAGCAGCTGCGGGGATGTCCGAAACTGCTTCGCCACCTCTAATGAATGGCACGCACAAGGAGGATGGACAAAAAGCAGGGTCCAAAGAGCCAAGCAACGCCTCGGACTCAGGCTCCCCTCAAGCTGCATCCCCTGCTTCTCCGTCTACTTTCCTTTCCCTAAATCTGTCTCCTTCCCCTTCCTCTTCACAAAGTTCAAAGACTAAGGATGACATTTGTAGTCCTTCCACATCTCCATTCCACTCCTTGAACTTAGAACTCAAAAAGATTGAGGAGGAAAAGTCCAAGAAAGGTTCGTCTTTGTCCTCATCAAAGGAATCCGTTCCAGTATCCTCTGCAGAATCTAAGGAAAACAAGGAAAAAGAATCTGAGGTGACACCGGCCCTGGAAAAGGAAGAGGTAAATGCTTACGTTTTTTCCCCGACATTGTCTCATAGGGCTTTATTCAAGATTTTTTTCAGACAACAAACGTTAATGTTGAGGTGTGGATAGATTGAGAATCCAAAAACCTTCTAAGTAAGTAACCAATGGTTTATTTTGTTCTTCGCCAGGATGACAAAACTACAACAAAGGACCCCGCTAAGGATTTGCAAAAGGATTCGGTTGAAGGTTTGGCTCCATGTTTGCCCCCTCCAGGATCTAACTGCACAGAGCCAATGGATACAGACACTACAAAGGCCAAGGACACTGAGGCGCCCACAACCAAAACGAAGGTTGAAAAGCCTTCTTGCCCCAAAACTACCACTTCTGATTCCCCAAATACTGCTCCTTCCTCATCTCAACCAGCTTCCTCTTCCAACAATATAAAACAAGACAAGGATGTCAAAAAGGATGATGGGAAAAAAGTAAAGGTTGAAAAGGAGGATGGGAAAAAAGGAAAGGTTGAAAAGGAGAATGGGAAAAACGTTAAAGGGTGAAAAGGAGAATGGGAAAAAACGTAAAGGGTGAAAAGGAGGCTGCTAAGAAAGGATCAATGAATGAGGAAAAGATGGATGTGGATATAGTGAAAGTAGAGACCAAAAAGGAAAAAACTGATGTTGGAAAAACCAAAAAAACATCTCGGCCATCTTCCACTCCACCATCTAATACAGGTATGAGAGAGTGAATTGCACCAATCTTCCTGATAGCTTCAAGATAATTTCTCTACATTGATACAGGGTATGAACCACAAGCAGTTATATTAGACATGTCATTTAATATTGTATAAATGCAGACCTTGTTCTTGTACCATTGTAGACTTGGAATGTAAGGCAATGGAAAGGCTTTCTGTTAAATATGTTTTGTCTACAATCCGAAGCCTGGATATATGTTTTAGAAATAAGTTTTGCATATGGGTGACTGAGACATCCTTAAAATAGATAAGTGCCAGAAAGCCAATCAATATAAAGTATTTAGGGAAATTAAAAGCTTGCATAGAATAACAGATCTCTTTTTCCTTAATTTCCCAAAGTGCAAGAGGAAAAGGGCTCCACCTCCGGACTGAAGCGCACTTTATCAGAGGGATCTCAAAATGATGTAGAAGCCATGAAACGTGAGGGGAAGAGACCCAAAGTGGAGCGTGAGGAGTTGGAGGCACAACTGGAATTTAAATTTACTACAAAGGCTGGCAGTCACGATAAACTTGAAAAGGTTTGCACCTACCCTGATACACATCATGTTTTCTCTTCAGTCCAAGTGAACTTTCCTTGGAAACCAATGGATACATCTTTACTTAATTGTGCCTTTTAACCCCTTTCTCTAATATTGTTTTCCAGATTGTGCAGCATCTTGTAGAAGAGCGGTTGAAGGCCTTGGAGCAGAGCCTTTATGATAAACATTTCCAAGAGCTGAAGGAAAGAGTAGACAAGATCGACTGTGCCACTAAACACCAAACCGCCATTAACACACTCCAAGTAAGTAGACTGTAACATTGTTAAGTAAACCTACATTTACACACACAGTAGTGTAAGATGCTCTTTTGCTGGTTAGTGCTATGTAGTTAAGTGCCTTCCTCTCTACTGTTTGTGTAGGCCAAGATAAACCGACTAACGAAAAAGTTTGGTGAGGCCAATCAGGCGTCAGAGAACAAAAGGAAACAGGAGGTAAGACATATTTTTCTTTTGTTGCATGCTAAACACTCCTACACACCAGGAGTGGAGTGCACCAGCTGGGCGTAAGCTGGGCGTAACTCTACGTCCGACGTAGAACCGAAGGTTAAGACCAAACTAAAGTTATGACTAGTGCACCACTTAGACTTAAGCCCTGTATGCGTTGCGCCCGGGTGTAACTTTTACGCCTAGTATGGAGCAGGCGTAAATCGGAAAGACAGACTAGTATCCATAGTAACGTAAAAGAGGCAAGAAGGATATTAACGATGGCAGGGCGTCTTGTTTACATGTTTAACAATGAAAGGGCATTAAGAAGAGTCTCAATTTCTCCTTCTCCAGCTCAATTTTTCGTGTTCCGCTCTCAATTTGACGGTCTCCACCTCCACACGAACGATGTCTTTCTCCGTCAGTTCCCGCTGTAGCTCTGACAAATCCCTCTTTCTCTTTTGGGGTGTGGCCATTTTGGATTCCCCTTGAGTCATCGCTGTGGGTGTGGGAATTCCCTCTTCTCTGCGGTCCTCTGAGTCTGTAAAATGGTAAAATGGCGTTGCTTGGCAACAATTATTGTTTTCGCGTGTATTCACGTGGACGCGCATCTTAAGACCAGGCGCAGCTACGCCCGAGACTAGTCAGGCTTGGTGCACTCGGTGTAAATTCGAATCACTACGTCGGACGTAGCTAAGCCCGACGTTAGAGTTAAGCCCTACTTTTTTACGCCCAGCTGGTGCACTCCACTCCAGGGTTTCCGTTAGCCGGTAATTACCGGTTTTTAGCTGGTAAAATTGATTTAAAAACCGGTAAATTCAAAATGTCCGGTAATAATTAGGGATGCTCCGATCGATTGGCCGCCGACCATTATCTGGATCTGATCGATATGGACATAAGCGTGAGTGAAGTATAACCGGACGCGAGAGAGAGATAGAGATCAGCTGCTGAGTCAGACGGAGACACGCAGCTCTGCATGATCACCTGAAGCCCCGCCCTCTGTTTAGCGAGCTGCATGAGAAACTGACGGGCTGTCAGGAGAGAGGGAGGGAGAGAGAGGGGAAAAGAGAGGATCCGTTTCTCCCGTGTTATTATTCAAAGTTAATGTAAACTTTGAATAATGTACTTCATCTACTACAAGTAGTTTGTTTGAATGTAATAATTATGTTGTTTGTGGAATCATTTATTGAAGAATTAATCTGAATTTTTTCGATCTGTTACGATTATAAACTGAAGCAATATAAAAAAGAGCCCCATTAACTGAGTTTTAAACATCAGCATATCCGGTCATAGTCCGGTAATTACCTGCTAATGGAAACTCTGCTACACAATTCTTATTATTATTTTTGAAACATGACCGGTAAGTTTCAAATTTGTCCGGTAAAATAAATTATTTCTGGACATTTGACCGGCAATAAAAAATCCTAGCGGAAACCCTGCTACACACCTAGTATTCCAGTGTTTGTTTCTGATATATATCTGACACTGTCTGATTTCCACAGGCGCTAGCTGCTGTATCTGCTGCTGTATCTGCTGCTGCCGCTTCTGCTGCTGCCGCCGCTGCTGCTGCCGCCGCTGCTGCTGCTGCCAAGACTGTGACTGTTGTGAACACCTCTCAAACTCAACGGTAAGTGTCTGCATGACCTCCAAGTCCTTGTCTGGGATTCATTTGGTATTGCCAGACCATTTCATCCTCTGACTAAACATTTCAAATCAAAACATTTATCAAAATTCTCAACATAAATGCATTAAACATGTTATATTTGAATCATACAGCACTACTTGCTGTTTGGTGAGTGAATATCATTTGGTCTTTGTATGAACGTGACAATACCGGACTGAAGCCAGTACTACACATGGAGACGTTCACAGCGTGTATAGATGACATTGTCCTGGGTTGCTATCTGTAATCACAGATACAGAATAAAGATATCTTCCAAATACCAATTTGGAAACCAAGATTCCATGCCCCTTGTTCGGTTTGTCTGGATCAGCTTTATAAAACTCTTCCAAATAGTTCTTAAGACTTGTTTTGGAATAAACAAACACACATGACAGTCTGTGTGTTGCACCTGCACAGTAACCCACCTGGGTCCAGGTCCTGAGTCTTGTGACGTTCTACAATGTGAAGCCTAAGCGTTTCCTCAGGCCGTGCAGAGTGTAGTTAAAACTGCACCTCTCCTCCCAACAGCGTGCTCCGGCAGAAAGTAGAGCTGCAGCCTGAGGGGCCCAGAGAGGAAGTGGCGCCCTCTGGTGGAGAGCTTCCTGTTCTGTCTATCAAGAAGGAGAAAGAAGAACAGGAAACAGAGGAGAAACATGACAATAAAGATACATCAAATAATGTCGATATGGCAAATGAACTGGCGGAATTAAGTGAAGGAAAATGCACGGCAGACATTGAACTCCGCTCAATCACGCCCCACATGGAGTCTGTGCTGTACCACTACTGCCAGAGAAGCTCAGGGAAACCCAGACATGACCGCTACGCATCCTATATTTTCCGCTATCTAGTCACATATGAAATCTACTGTGACTGGCTCTTGAAGGTCAATTATATAGGTTCAAATGGCAAGGACGCATTGCCTGTGAATCTAAGGAGGGCGATGAGGATGTACGTCGACCGTCGGTTCCCCATACTGACTTATTACCAGTGGCGAGACATTCAAAACGTTATCAATGAAGTTCTGCGAGTTAAGAAAACAGCGGATTTTTTTCGAGTATATGTTGCAAGGTAATTCGTTCATTCTGTCAGCGTTCTTTAATAGTGTATTTCACTGAGGGATGTGAATCTGTGAAGTTTTCTTAAAGATCCCATGTCATGGCCATTTCTACTGATCATAATTCCATTGTTGAGGTATACTAAAATAGATTTATACTGTGCAATTTTCCAAACTCACATTGGTTTCTCATACAGCATCTCTGTAAAGTATGTGTATTCACTCTCTGTCCTAAACGGCTTGTTGGAGCTCGCCCCCCCACCCCACCCCCCCCCCCCCTTGAGCCCAGTGCGCTCTGATTGGTCAAGCGACGAGCAGTGAGGAGCTGCTGTGAGGAGCAGACAGGGCTTCCGTGTCAGCGAAACAAATACAGCAAGAACAAGCAAAACTCATCCTGAGCACACACAAACACTCACAGCCGAAGTAAAAACAATAAGTGTGGCTTGATATTGAGTAAGAAAAAGGTTTATAACGCTGTGAGAATGGGTCTGCGCCTGCGGAGAGCATTTCTCCGCGATCCCAACTTAGCAGCCCGAAAAACGTTTACCCATTTAAACAGCCGTGGTAGATACCTTGTTTGTTTTAAACATCATAAATACACAACAACAATGAATACTTGCAGGTTGTGTACCCGAATCTCCCGCTGGTCCAAACAAAGTAGGAACAGCATCGTTCTTCAGTGCCCTACGCTGTACATATCCGGCATGAATCGCTGAAAGGTTTGGGAAGCTTTGTTTCGTGAAAGGCTGGCAGAGGGTGCGGCCATAGCTCTGGGCGTGGCTACTGGGTATCCCTACGTAGCGATACCCAGGAAGGAAACATTGGAAAATGAGAAATCTCCAACGAGGCGTTTTGGGGAGGTCTTTTCTGTGTTAGAGTTGTACTCGCTACAGGGTGTGCTTTGAGGTCTGCAGACCGTTTACATGCATAAAAACCTTCATAACACACAAGGGGACGGGTAATAACCGGAAAAGCATGACATGGGACCTTTAACAGTTAGTCAGGAAATTGGCCCCACATTTGAAATGGTTCAACTACTGTATACGTGCATATTGATAAATGCTTTGGTGAGAACTCTTAATTCAATTATGATATATAATTGTGTATGTAATAAAAATACATGTCAGCACAATGCCACATTCAGTCCATTGTCCTTTTGTAAATAGCTCTAAGCATGAGTGATCTTTCTAAACAGGCCAGTTCGTACCTCCATGGAGCTCAAGCAGATCCAAACAACTACTTCGCCCTCAACAGGTGGTGAGTAGCAGATCTTTTTTATACTTGATGTTGTATTGCCTTTGTAGCCAAACACAGTGCACATGTGCCTTCATCAACATTAACACGGTCGCTGAATCAATTTGACCTACGCTGCCCTTCTGCTTTAAAAACTTACTAGCAAATTCATTCAAAGTTGGTGTGAAAACGTCGTACGGAGCTGAGTGCCACATACAGGCTTAGAAAGTGAGAAGAAAGTGAGAAAGAATTGAGGGACAAACTCATTGTTGGTTTTGGTCTGGGATTTATTGACAATAATAGTAATGGAACATTTACAGACTCATCCTTTAAGTGTCCTGTCAGCTTGTAATTTGAATTTGACGGCAGTGAATGCGTACCTGTCTTTTGTCCATGACATGCCAGGATAGGTCTTCACTTCAATGCGTGCTGCTCACAATAAAAAAATGTATGGATATTTTGATAACTGATCCGTTTCTGGTTACTGCACCCTTAAGTTGACTCTTAAGCCCCGGCCACACGAGGACGATAATGGTCGTATCTGCTACAGTTCACTATCAGATAAACGGTTCGGCCACACAAGGCCGACATGGAAACGCAGAAAAAGATAACGATAACGGGTCCCAAGGTGGGTAGATCTGCAAACGAACCGCTCTGGGGGGGCAAACGGCTCTGTGTTTACGCCTATACAATCATTTCCTGCTGCGTGTGGACGGAAGACTTTTTTGATAACGATTGCGGTCCGTTTGCGTTATCGTCCTCGTGTGGCTTTAGTAAAAAGGAGCAGACCTGTCACAATAACTTAAAAGAATGAAGAAAAATATATTTTCCTAATTTTTTGACAATGTCACTGGTATACATGGCATAATAATGCACGTACACCTTAAAGACCAATAACATTTCTTAAGAATATTTGGATGTATATTTTTCTCTTATAAATCTTGTTTTTATGTAAAATGGAATGCATTTAAACACAACGAGCAATATCAAGGTCAGAAAACATATTCAAGGTCGTGTCCATATATCGTAAGATTTCTTTACAGCCTATAAGCACAAAATGCAGTTCATTTGAAATCCTCAGTTTCACTTCATTTGACTTTCCAAAAAACTTTTACTTTTTCCTATTTACAGCAAATCCATTCCTGCTTGCTTCCACCACAGGTCTGATCCATACGCCCACCTCCACTGCCATGGTTTCACAGGCTCCCATCCTCCAGCTGATCACCACCACCTCTAATGCTGGCTCCACCCTGACCGGTGGCATCACCACCCAGAGTTCCACCGGCACGCTGCTGAAGACGCCCAGCGGGAGCAGCATGATGGCAGCGGGCCAGCCGCTCCTCATCCAGCTGCCTTTATCAATGACTAACGGCCAGGGAGGAATGCTGGTCAACATCCCTGTCTCCTCTCTGTCTGCAGCCACGTCCCATAGCAAGGCCAAAACCACGACTACCACCACCACTTTTATACTCAAGCCTGCTTCCGCTATTACCACTTCCTCAGCCTCTGGTCCCACTGTCGCCACCGTCCCCTCGTTCCAGGCCTCCACTGGCATGGTGTCCCCCACCCAGATCTCTATCGCCCGGGCTCTGTTCCAGGGTGGTGCTGGGGGAATAACTACACCCAATGCAGGGGTATCTGTGACCACAGCCAGGGCCCCGGCTCAGTCTGTGTCTGTAGCGGGAGCCATGTCTTCAGCCTCTTCACCGGCAACCTCTGGGCCCGCTGCTACAGGATCCACCGCTCCAGGACCACCACAAGGGACGTCTCTCACATCAAAGACAGGTAGGGCGGCACTTTGATTAAAAAGGCTGTTGTCTTTCAAAAGTGTATATTGTGTCTCTGCGGCAATCTGCAACTTGTAAAACTCAGGCTGTCAAGCCATTAGGCCAGTCCCAAAAACGAGAAATGTAAAGATGTGACACACTGGTTGAAATAACCATCGTAAATTAGTTTAAATGTATTTAATGTTAACAAAGAATGAAATAATAATTAACAATGTTTAAAAAATGTATATTAATTAACCCAGATGCAACTTGACATTAGCCATCGAAGCGATGTCTCTATAATATTTACAATTATTAACCATTAACAAAGTGTAACAAATATCTGGTCCAAATATCTGTGTACGGTTTTAAGATGTTTTACAAGTGATTTCTCAAAGGTTTACAAATATTTTCGTTACTAACAAATACTTAATATAGTTTATATAATGTTTGTAACAGTAAATCATAGCCCTAATAATTAGTAATATTACCATTTGAACTATTACTGTTATTCAAAGTTTGATTGACTAGCAATAAACCCTTTGGTTATTCTAAAGGGTTACCAGACATGTATGTGTATTGTTACATTGTCATCTCAACAGTAACTTGTGTTGCCTGATCCATTGTCTTTATCTTGGCAAAGTATCAGTAAAGTATTTAGTATTAGTAAAGTTGTTTGTGGATTTTTGGGTCTCAACATTTATCCCTTTTCTTTATTTCAGACAACCAGGCTACCGTTTCTACTCCGTCCAAAGCAGCTGCTTCAGGTTCGCGACCAAAAGGCTCCGTCATCGACCTCACTGAGGACGATGATGATGTACAAGGTCAGTCACCTCTTAACCCCCATACACAAAATAGATTTTTGTTTTAGGATCGGTATACCTTAACACGCACTGTTCCGAAAAGCAGGCTTTAGTTATTAATGTAATTAATTACGTTGTTCTCCTTGTTGTCCAGTGACCGGAGTGAAGAACGCCACAGCTGCAGCTCCCTCACCCACCCAGCGTCCGAATCCTGTCCTCAGCACCCCTTCCAGTAAGACCCCATTATTATATCATATAATCAAGTCTTGAGAGGATCACTTTGTACATGCATGTGATACCATAAACCAGTGCTTCCTTCTCTCTATGGGGCACCATTATGATTTTTAAGAAATATAATTACATTTATTTACACACATAAATATTATGCGTTTTACATCTGTAAACTCTGTCCTCAGGTGCAGGAGCGAGATCGTCCCCGCAGAGCAATCCTCAGCTGACGGTCCACCATCGCCCCCCACTGGTGAGGATCTAGATCTGCACATTACACATTTTGCACAAATGAGTTTTGTAGCTTATACGTTTTGTTCTGTATATTGTTAATTGCATATAAATTAAAACGTATTGATACATCTGTGGATCCTATCCTTAAAGGCTGCCCAGTAAGGCTACCAGTTGATCTTGCAGTATAAAAGCTTTGTTGCCAGCTGTTAAGTAGTTGAGAAATGATTTTTCTCAGCTGAAACCTCAGATCACGTCTATCTGGGTCAGATCGATCCCTATAAACGGATGATTATTAAAACCATTTATGTTTCTCATGCAGATAACAATTTGATTGACTTTGGTTATTTATTACATGAATATAAAGTAATGAAACCGCCAGATTGGGTCAATGTATGTATCATGTAATATGTACAAATTAAACTATAGTATAGTCGAATTAAACATAAATGTAGTTTAGTGCAATTATAAGCTGTTGCCTGAAACCATATTGCACTCTCCATTGTATTGTTAAATTTTTAGCCGACATTATCATATTTAGCCCATTTTGCTCAAGGAACAACTCATGACACTAGTTTTGTCTTTTTTAGGACTCTCCTCTGAAATCCCGTGCTGTAACCACTACTACGCCGACACGGGGCTCTATTGCGGTGCTGCCCCCGCTCCCCGCTGCACCCGCACTGGCACGCTTACCCCCCGAGGCAGAGCGCTCCTCTCCTCCGCAGCAGCCTCAGCTGAAGCTGGTGCCCAGCCAGACCGGCATAGTGCTGTCCTGGTGTGTGTCGGAAACGGATCGGACCTGTGCGGCTGTGGACAGCTATCACCTCTATGCCTTCCATCAAGACAACTCCAACAGCGGTGCAGCGCAGCAGCACTGGAAGAAGATTGGGGAGGTGAAGGCCCTCCCGCTGCCCATGGCCTGTACGCTGACCCAGTTCCAGTCCGGCTCCACGTATCATTTCGCTGTTCGAGCCAAAGACATCTGCGGGCGTTTCGGCTCCTTCTGTGAACCTCAGTGCACAAATGTCATTAATTCCAACTCTAGCTGAACAGTGAAGGAATGGAAACATTTTTCTTCATGACTTCCTTTACGTCATTTTGTGTTAAGAACTCAAATAATGTGCGTGGAACTCTTACAATATCTGTAAATACTTCTCTACATAACAATGGGACTTCTGACTGAGATTGAAGCGGCAAACTGTTGGTTTTGTTTGGTTCATGTATGTATTGTATCTTATGTGACTGTTGTATATAATTGAATTACTTTACCTCTCCACCGGGTCAGATATTTATGTTGTTATCCCCTGTTACTCTGATCCGGATGTCTTCTGCTTGAGTTGAGAAGAGGTGAAAGGATTATCCTTGTAAATTGCACAGAACTGTATACATGTGTGGTAGAAACTGAATGATCATTTTTGTAAGTTTTGTCTGGCAACCAGACTTTGAAAAACACAATAAAAGGTTTTATTAAAGTCTTGGCTTACTAATTTAATGACGAATTCCATTATCTGTTTTGAGGTTCATAGCTCTATCGCCAATAACAATACCAATCTACCACATTGAATGCAGAGACATTGGCACTCTGGTAACAGGATACAGATATGTTGGTGAACAAAAATAATTTGTTTACATTTACATATCCAAATGGTTACAAGTATTTGTATTCCTAATGCATTGTGATCCAGATAATTGGGCTGATTCTAAGCCATCTCACGGCTGCTCAGTGGAAACATTTATTATATGTTGGCTAGTTTGTACAGTCGCAGATCTGCTGTATCAAAAGACTCAGTAAGAAAACTGACTAATGAAGCTTAGCGCAAGTTCAGACAGGAAGACCTATCACTCCGCATCGCACGTCACGGCAATACTCGCTCCCTTCACTAGATGACAGGGAGCGCCACTCCTTAGCTAACCTATCACTTCCCTCCAATCACAAGCCTAATTATCGCACCTGTTAATCCCTCTATATATGCTCTCCCCTTTTCTATTAGCTGTCTTCCAGGTGTCAACGCGCAACACACAGACGGCAATTGTCAAACTAACCTCTTAAATTCTCAAGACGTACGATTCAGAGTATTCAGACTACGATCAGCTTCCAGCAGGATTTTGATCCGGGCCCGACATGCTGCCTTCGATCGAATCGACTTCCTCAAGCTGCCGCTTGGTATTCCGCAGCAGCTCACCTGCAGCAGTGGCTGATCTCCTCCTTTCCCAACTGCAGCAGCAGGGCAATGGGCATTACTCCAGCTCCATGCCTATCTCTTCACCAGCTCCGCAAGCTCGCGGATTAAGCTTCAAGCGGCATTCCCCAGCTCGAGCCAGCGGCTCCAGCCGGCAACCTCGCAAATCCGGACGCGGGAGGAAAAAAGGAAGCCGGGCCCCATGAAACCTCCTCGGCTCGCTCTAACGCTCACCATTACGGGAAGCAGCCGCCCCCGGGTAATGGCTCGATCAACACCCTGCATCCTGGCACTTCATGCAAACAATTGACGCACGCCTTCAGTCGGCCTCTCGAGAGGACACCACCGGCATCAGGGCCGCTCAATGCGGCACTTCCGGCCTTCACGCTGAACGGGCCCTACATCCTCGCATGCGAAGCTTCACCTCATCTCCTGCTTCTCCTGCGTAACAACAAGGCGTCAAGTGCAGGCCGGCAAGAAGGCCGTTTGCAACAAATTCACGAGAATTTCCAACATGCTATTGCTATCTTTAGTTCCAAGGTTCAGGGTAAAGGTGAATCTAGGTCAGGTATAGGTAGGTCCTCACTTCTTCCACATACGCAAAAAAAGAAAGAAAATAATATATATAATAAATAAAAAAATTTAAAAAAGTAATTATTATAATCTTGCAAGACTGACTGCGCGTCAGAAGTATTGCTCCATGCAATAGTCAGTATCACAGGGGCGGCAGCTCACCCTATCCTATTTTCCTTCTCTCTCCCTGCTCATTCCCGTCCAACCCTTGCTTGTTTCCCAGTTTAGACTCGCCGCATCATGTAAAGTAAGTGCATGCCCACATTCAGCACAGCACTACTATCGTATCACTCACGGATACAAATAAATAAAAAAAACCTTAAAGACTGCACATTCTTTGTTTTGGGGGAAATCTCGCAGGGTAAGCGAGTCGCAGGCTCGAGCCCACTCACTTACAGTAGCGACACATCCCTGCTCGAGATCATCCGCCATAGCGGCACGCTCAGATTTCCACTATCGCTTACACATTCATTATCATACTCGTCGGATCCAACACTAGCGTCCCTCCATCGTTCTCTTTTCAGATGATAGAAAACAGTCTTAATCACTCAATCAAGTAATCAAGCATATCAGCATCTATGACTCATCTCGGGGTAACTAAACTGCTAATTAAGCTACACCTGTTCATGGGTCACGTTTCAGCATTTACCTAAGCGTATGTCATTTTATGCTGTGCATCCCGCACTTCATTCATATTCTCGGCTTCATGCTCACATGGCTTGCCGATAAGCCGGGTTATGATATCCATGCATCACTGTACTCAAGCCAACAGCTCATGCATTACATTGCCTACATCTCCCTCTTCGCCCGGACATCGGCTTGTGCGGCAATCCAAGATCTCTCAAGCTTAACCATGGTAAATATGCATATAACTGGTGGTGGTGTCATTAGCATATCAGCTCACATATCATTCTCATGCTTCTATCTGAATTCTAAGTGTATCATTCAATCTAAAGATCACAGGCACGTTTACTCTTGCAGGTCATGTCGTGTCACATGTTTCATTTCAGGTCACGTCCATGTCAACCATCTTCTGACCGGAGGGTCTCCGGCTCGCGTGAGCCAGGATACGACATCCACGCATTTTTATTTTCATGTTTGACCGGAAGGGTCTCAGGCTTGTGTGAGCCAGGATGTGACATCCACGCATTTTATTTTCATGTTTGACCGGAAGGGTCTCAGGCTTGTGAGCCAGGATGTGACATCCACGCATTTTATTTTCATGTTTGACCGGAAGGGTCTCAGGCTTGTGAGCCAGGATGTGACATCCACGCATTTTATTTTCATGTTTGACCGGAAGGGTCTCAGGCTTGTGAGCCAGGATGTGACATCCACGCATTTTATTTTCATGTTTGACCGGAAGGGTCTGAGGCTTGTGTGAGCCAGGACGTGTCCATCCATGCATTATCCCACTCTTAGTCCTACGCTAGTCAATAACATGTCTTCTCTGTCCCCGTATAATTCTCTCATTATATCCATAGATCACCGCAGCTAGCTCGTAAGATCACCGCAGCAAGCTCGTAAGATTTCCACTGCATCCCACAGGTAAGATTTCTTCACGTTCAGTACTTCTACTTCACTTCTTTTGGGGGTTCATCGGAAACGGTTCTTTCCCTTCCCGAATGATATCCTACAAAACCTGGGCCTAATTGCCAAACACCTTTTCATTCACTTGTTATAAATTGTCATCATTATGTTTCATTTACATAATGTGACCGAAAATAAACATGTATTCCATACATCACGTCTCTCCTGATTGAAATGAAGCTTAGCGCAAGTTCAGACAGGAAGACCTATCACTCCGCATCGCACGTCACGGCAATACTCGCTCCCTTCACTAGATGACAGGGAGCGCCACTCCTTAGCTAACCTATCACTTCCCTCCAATCACAAGCCTAATTATCGCACCTGTTAATCCCTCTATATATGCTCTCCCCTTTTCTATCAGCTGTCTTCCAGGTGTCAATGCGCAACCCTCCTCCACCCCTTCGCCTCCTGCTTCCAACTCAGGGCCAAGCTTAACCTTCTCCCTTCCAACCGGACCTAACCACTTATCACCACCAGTGTCTAGACCCAGGGGGGTTCATCGGAAACGGTTCTTTCCCTTCCCGAATGATATCCTACAAAACCTGGGCCTAATCGCCAAACACCTTTTCATTCACTTGTTATAAATTGTCATCATTATGTTTCATTTACATAATGTGACCAATAATAAACATGTATTCCATACATCACGTCTCTCCTGATTGAACTAATGGTTTCTGACTCAAAGGTGTTCATAAAAGGGCTTTCTCATCAATACTGTGATCTTCTTTCCCATTAGTATCTTCATTTTTAATGTCTGTACATATATCCTCTGTATCTCAAAGGATCACATAAGTTCTCATAAGATAAGTTGTCACATTTTCAGGGGAAGACAACAGTATTCAGGAGCTGTGTCTACATCCTGCATTTCCTCCACAGCGGCCTGTTTCCACATTGCCTCAATTTTAGTATTTAAGTATTTTATTAGCCAACACATGCAACCTACTCTAATTCTGATCTACTACTACTGGTACTACTGATCTTATAAATGTGCCTTTCAGTTGTTTTATTCTAGATCTAATTATTTAGCAGGTTCAAATAAAATACAAAATAATAATATTATTTTATTAATAATATATGTTTAAAGTTTTGTAATTATATTAAATTGGTAGGCTATAATAACAATACTTTTAAGATAAAAATTACATTGAATTATAAACTGACCAATTAAATCTCATGATGGCTGTGAGCTTAAAGCTATCATATGCTAAGCTTGTATCTCTGATAACTATCGCAAAAATGTGGCTTAAAACTGGAGCTTCTGGTAACCAACCACAAAACTGACACATAAGCAAAGTAGAAATGTCACATGTTTTAGTAACGGCAGAAATCTTACTTCTACCTTAATTCTAAAAGATACGTTTGTTATTTTTATTATTTACAGATAGACTCCAAAGGGGACTTGAGCACCTGCCCTTTTGAAGTTCCAAGCCAATCGTAAAACAGAGTTTTCAACACAGAAGTGCTTTACTGCTACTCAACGGTTAATGCAAATCCGATAAAACGGGGGGTTACGTATTGTAACCCTAGTTATATAAGCACAGACGGAGCCTTTACTGGACTCTATGGGTACTACTCTCTATCATGCTGTGCGTGCTTTCACCTACTGAGTTACGTAAACGTAGCCGGCCAATAGGGGCGAGCCTACCTGAATGCGCGCGCAGGCCCACAGTATATAAGGCGGCTACGCCCTCCGCCCGCCATCCTACACCCTCTTCAGCGAGCGGCCTAGGAAAGACAGGAGTAGTATTACACATGCCGCTTTCGTCTCATTAGTATGCATGAAAAGTGACAGGTGGTGTGACAGGTCACACCTCTCCCTACTTATGTTAATGAGCTAAGTTCCGCCTCCCTTTGTTCGAGGTGGATGTCACACCTAGGTGTGAATTCACACGTAGGTGTGAGATCCTTTGATGTGAGGGGTGAGGTGTCATCACACGTAGGTGTGAAATGCCCCCCTGTGTAGTGCTTTTGTAGTCTAGTCCTTTGATGGGAGGTGTTATAGCAGGTATGTGTGATATAAGCCTCTGATGTTAATCTAGGTGTTGATTAAAGCAGTCTCTTTGAAGTTATGCTGTCTGGCCCCTGTCCCCTCAGAGTTGTATAATCTAATTAGCCTCTGATGTTTGCCCTTT